GCGACGTTTATATCTGCTAACTATTATAATATTTATCACGCTAGATTCAATGTATAAAAATAAAAATTTTACAATATTTAAAAATCAATAAACAATTCTATTCACAGATAAATAAAAAAAGGATAAAAAAATTCTTGTCATATATATATAAAACATGGTTACTAAATAAATAACGTAAAATTAATTGATATTATTTTTATATAATAATTTATTAAAATGACATTGAAATTGTTATGTATAATATTAAAAGTAATTACACTGATATAGATATATATATATATATTCTTTTTTTAAGTTTAATTATTTTTAATGTGTGTGTGTGTATGACATACTCTATACATTGTCTGTAATTTTAATTTCAAATTAACCTAATAAAAATTCAATTTCTTTCAAAAGCAACAAGACATTATAAATTCTACATGCAGAAATGTATCATATAACATCGAAAGTATACGTGAGAAGGGACGATGAGAGAAGAAGTACTAGGTCGGTAGCCACAATTCTGGAAAGCCCAACTCCTCCGCCCGAGGAAGGTCGGGACACGGAGTCGACCATGATGTATGCTCCTCTTCCGTCTAATTAAACTTAGGAAGGGTCGCAGAGTTGGTTGGTGCGCCGGTTGTACGGACGGACGTATGTACGGTCGGACTGACAGCGAGGGGAGGTCGGCGGATGGCTTTCAAAATGACAACCGGAGAGAGCAAGGGCTGCGAGAGAGAGAGAGAGAGAGAGAGAGAGAGAGAGAGAGAGAGAGAGAGAGAGAGAGCGCATCGAATGGACTCTACAAAGTGAGAGAAAGACAGGAGAAAGATTCGTGTCTCCTTGCGACGCATGAAACGGGTACTTATAACGAGAGTGGGATCACCATCGACTTCCTCTCAGGAGACTCGATGCACTTAACTTCTATTACATTATTCATACACGGCGATAAACAATTCGCTGAAAAAAGAAAACGACAACACGGACGTTCGTGCCGTACGAAACTTTTATCGAGCATTGGCAAGCGTCGCGATTTTCGAAAATATCGCCGAGTCAGCGTAACGCAGCAAAACGCGCAGCAAGCTCGTGTGGGGATCCGCGCCAACGAATACATAAACTTGCTTTTAGGAAATTCCATTAATCTCCAGTTGCACTCCGGCGCCATATACGCGAAGTCCGTTTTGCGCGATACTATTCTCTTCTTTCTTATACGTTATAGAACAATAACAAACTATGATAGTCTCTCTCTTTTATCGAAAGTATATCGTGACAATGGTTGATATAAAGCCTATTCTACAATTGCGTAAGCATAGTTGTAAATAGTTATAGTTGTAAGAAATCATAGTTGAATATTCTTAATATTTAGCTGTAATTGTGTGATGAATCGTTAGAACTAAAACCGTAACTGCACTTACGTAATTTTGTAGAATAAACTCATAATTTAAAGATCCAATTTTTCATGCCGCTTACGTTCATTAAAATCGATCTGTATAAATTATGTGAGTCAAAATAAATTTATTTTTATAGAGTATGAATATTCTTATTTAATTTTCTTAGCAAATTATAAGTTTTTACTTCCTCGTCCAAGTTGTTTAGTTGACTAATAATTGCTAACGCACTCATGCGTGTATAAATATGTACCTAGATATCCTAAATTGATGCGTAGATATACTAAATCGATAATAAAAAAATATTTTATTAAATATATATAATGTTTTAAAATAAACAATACTTAATATTAAATTAATTTCTTCGATATTGTAGATAATCCAAATTAGAGAAACAATTATGCTGAATGAATTATATAATTCTTTTTAATCAAAAATCCGTACCTTATATAAAATATTTATCACTGTATTTAAACATAGTCACATGTCCTTATTCGTTTCTCTCAAATTCCAATTCACTTAATTAAGGTATGCATAGATGAGAGATCGCCATCTAATATCATATATTGCCATTCTATCCTTCTTTGTTTGCAACATTCGTATTTTGCTGTATAATTATAGTATCAAAATTATACCGCAAAAATCATTATAATTTCCTACGTCTTTTTCTAATACAGCCAATCTCCTTTACAATTTCATTTTGATATTTATCTTTCTTCATTTCGTTTTCTTGCCACACCTTTCTATCATGTTTTAACTTATCACGTTTTAACGCAATACTCGCCAAGCTATTCGGTATTCGGTTTTCCATTGAACTTATTTCCCTCTGTCGGTCCTTCTCCATCTATCTAAACTATGTGTATACCTACATAAACTATGTCTATTCAACCGCAGTGCGCTCGGCTGCTTCCCATCTACCGTGTCAATGCAGACTAGCTGTTACGAAACGGGATAGACCATTGGCGCGCCACAACAAATTCCTTGGCGCGAGATGTCGCGATTCCGAATGTTTAACCAGCTAGGTTAAATGACGGCAGCCGAAGGCTAAACACGACCTAGAATTCCCGGCGATGCTTCTAGTATACGATGAAAACGGAATGAGCGACGATCGGCATATTCGCGTTGGACACAATGGATTTATGGTGGATACCTTCGACTTGCTTCAACTAGTAAACATCGTCGAAAAACTTCGTAATGTGCCATAATTTTCCGGTTATCGAATTGTTAGTTTATGGTTGATATTGTGATGATGTGAGGAGCAGACGCATTTCAAAATGAGTTTTGTACAAAATTTATAATTTTCCGAAAACCACAGAAAGAAAGCTACAAGAAAACTGCGCGCCTTACAGAAAACAACAAATAGCTGTTAAAAAAATATTAAACAAATATATTTTTGTTAAAATACATTTCTAGTTAAAGAACATAATGCATATTATGTCTTCAAATGTCAAGATTTTTTTCAGCACTCAGAAATAAATTGATAGTGTAGAAATGCTTTCAGAACATCGTAGAGTAGTTCAAAATATCTCAACATTGAACACTATGCAATCTTTAACTCGAAATAAAATTTCGGATAGAATACATTTTGGAAGTCTGCTTCTCATATAGTATATATTTAAATTCATGCCAAAATTATAAAATGGACCATCAACTCTTCTCGAGATTGTCACGATAAGCGCATCGCCGATGCGGAAAAAAGTACAAGAGATTAGAACATTAAACAGGGAAATCGCGAGATCATAATTCATTCGGTAAAAAAAAGATGAAATGTCGGAAGGAGCGCTTAAAGACCTTGGCACTCGAGTAAATACACGAGTTCGTGTTCGTGCCAGTTACTCTTTTAAGATGTAATATGTATCCAGTGCATCCCTCCCTCCCGAATGAATTCCGAGATGCAATATAGTCGCTTAATCGCTCGTAATAACGCCGAGACGAATGCGGCGCTTCTCGAGACTATCGCGAAAAACTTCAGGAATTTCTAGCGGAGATGGCACCGTATAATCGCTCACGGACGAATTTCATATGTCCTTAGAGAGAGACACGGTATGTTCCATCATTAACAAAACGTATTTCTATTTTTTATAAAAATTCAATAAATGTGTGAACGGAGGAAAAAACACGAATTTGTATTTTGTTATATTTTATTCCGCGAATTTTAATTGCGCAATTGATGATACTATCGTGTCTGATATGATAAATAATTTAATGTTAAAACAAAGATGTAGTTGTATTGGTAAACGTGTATGAGTATTTAAAACACGTCGGGAATTAGCGCATATATCGAGTAAATTCTCTGTACCCCCAACACACATCGAAACAAACTTTGAATGAATCGACAGACATCGAAACTCAGTCGTCGAGGGATGGCACATCGAGTCCCGATGCATCGTCGGTTTACATTAAAATCCTTTTAACTTGGGCGCTGTATATGAGGTCGTTAACATTCGCGAAAGCTCTCGACGACGCGATTAACCAAGGAGCAAGAGGAGCGTCGACCGCGGGTTCGTCTTTCTACGAGCGAGTGCGGTATCGTCATCCTACAAACAGCGTATATGCATTAAACCATGAACCCACTATCCCCGACGTCATATCCAATACACGTTGTTAGGGGGTTGCTGAAGCCGCGATACAGTACAGGGAAACGGGGAGTGAGGACGGGGGAGGACGGTAGGTGGCTGCAGGGTGATTTCGAGGGTAGCTGCCAACCTCCCCCAGTGCGGTAATGGCATTAACCGAGCTGCAATATGATTACCGCTCTCGCAAGGTAACCTGATCACACCCGAAATCTATGGGGTGTCCGGAATACACGCGCGAGCGAGCGAGCAAGCGAGAGAGAGAGAGAAACTTGTGCAGTGAGGAACAATGTATTGCTCTTGGAATAGCCGTGCAACGTTACGCAATTGCGGCAGTTGCAGCCGATGCCGAGGTTCGGCTAGCGTTCTCCCCCTTAATCGCGTTGCGCTTTTTGCGGCTCAGATTACCCGTGAATCATTAGATACTCGGGCCCCAGTAGAATCGAAAGCCACCATCGTGCTACGGATCGTTCCTTATCTCAGCATTACGAGATTAGTCTCCAGTCGTTTCTCCTCCAACTCTTGTTTTATTTATCCTTTTTCGTTCGATACATATATTTTTTTATTAATTGTCCGCAGAAATTGATGAATGACAAAATATTAAGAAATAAAACTTTCTCGAAATTGTGATTAGAATCTCAAGAAATTTGATTAGAATCAATGTACGATTCGTAAGATATAAACATACTATCACAAAAAAATTAAGCAACACGTACATTTCAACAGCAAAAAGTTCTATACTAGTCAATGATGGAAAACTATACATACAAGACCTATAAATCGCTATTGATAATAAAAGCAATTTTTGGATGCAATAAATGCATAGAAAATATTTGCATTGAAATAAAACGCAATTTCAAAATATTTTGAGGAACGTAATATTTTTTTCTCTTACTTAAATAAAAAAAAAAAAACATACGTATAAAGATATGTTCGCGAATAAAAGCAATGAATAATATAGGTACTCTGTTTCTGTGATGGCAAAAATACATCGCTTAATATCTTTCGAAAACAGAAAACATTGCGATCAACCGTGCTATGTGATAAAGAAAGTACTTACCGTGAGATGTTGAAAGAGCCACGCCCTGAGGATGTTCGTCGCAACCTTAGGAAAGATACCTCGTTTCTTTTGGTTTTTCTTTCCTGACGAATCGTCATCTTCCTCGCCCGTACCCTCACCGCTACCGATACTCGCGTTACTCGCGTCACCTGCAACAGTAAGAAGAGAGCAAAGGTCATCACGTCCCGCCTCAATAATTAATGCGAATTGATTTCATATCTATTTGTCGATGAGAGTCAAATGTATTCTCACGTATTTCTGAAATCATAATACAGCTTATTGATAATAACATTACGTATACATTACATCAATTTTCTCGATTGTTAGAAATATATAGTAAATAAAAAGAAATCAATTTGAGTTTACGATTAAATTGTGAGATACCTCGCACCATCGAAGTAAAATTCCCGACGTGTTTAAACTGCGCTCCGATTTTCGGTTCATACCCTGGTGGGCGATAACTACCTCGACCCTAGGGCTGGTTCCCATGCATACAAACACCATTAAGCCACCCGCAATCACCCGGCCCCCTTCAACCCGGAGAAAGCTCGTATACACGCTTCGTACTCGGCTCAACCACGTACCCCTGTGCTCCTTCTTCACCCCATTTCGCCTCTTCTCCATCCGTGTGCATTAATTCTCCGTCATTTATCAATCTTAGCTTTTTAATTGCACAGTCACTGGGGACTCAAAACGCGGGACAGTAATGAGAGGTATTAAGACGCTGTTGGTTATGCTTTTCAGAAGCTCTAATATCATATTTCCATATTATCAAATGTAATACGAGTTATTCGTTATATTGTACATCGCGTATAAGGAGAGACCTGCATATATTTTTATTTATACTACTATTATTATAGAACACGTTTTTATAATATATGTATATTGATATTTAATATACTTCGATAGACTCCAAAAAAATTGGAGATAATCGCAAATTTTTATCTCGCAAAATGCAATATTAATGATTATGGAATAAAATGCAATTTCGTTGGAATTCTCATGATATTCCAGCGAATCAATCTCCCAGACGAATTTGAGCGCCGGAAGTTCGAGGTTCCCTTTATTCTTTCTCTTCGCAATCAGCCAGAAAGGAGAGCAGAAAAGGCTACTTACGCCAGCGGATTATAAATGACCGAGCCTTATCGTAATGCCCAAGGCCCCGATTCCCAAGGTTCTATCGTAACAGAGAGATCAGGGTGAGCCTGGCGCTCCCAGGGGGTTCACGATGACAGGTCGCCCAGGGGCGCTGCCAACTCACCCCTCTCGTTTGCCGAAGAACGGTCTCGTGCCCAAGATTAACTTTGAATTCGTCGAGCGGACCGTCATCGGACAAGGGGAGGCAAAGGACAAGAGGCAGGCAGGCAAGCAAAACGAAAAATTTGTCTGTCGTAAGAGTGGACGGATCGGAACGACGGGAGATCGATGGAAATTGGTGCCACGTACGACGTATTCTCGCGTGTGCCGCTTTCTTCAAACGTTCCAAGGGAAAGAAAACGAGAAAAGCTTAGCTCTTAACTCTGCGATTTGGCGCAATAGATATTTATCTTATCGCGATTTATACCGATAAGCTCTACAAATTCTATCAAATGCAATTTTCCAGAGAAATTGTAATGAAATCACAACAATTGTGATGAAATTTTAATGTTGTGTAAAAAATGTATATTTACAATCTGTCATTATCAAAAAGAAAACGCACCATATGGAGTATAAGATCTTAAAACTTAATAATGAAACAAACTTTCTAATTCACTGACGTTAAGATGATATTTTTTTCTCATTGACCAAGTTTGTTTTCCATCCGGGACATAAGATCCATTGCCAGTGGTCATTGCGTGTATAACAAAAACGATGTTAGACGTTCCCTCTTCGACTCAGAAGCCCGTTAATGGCGTGTCCGTAAAGTCGAATAGGGCGGCCTGCGAGCTCATAGAACCAGTGGGTGGCTATAGTGAAATAACGGAATGGCTAACGGGAACGTCCCTCTGATTGCAGTTAATTTACTCGCTGAATCGGGTTAATGTAGCGTACCGGTCGTACCGCGCGCCGTACCGTGTGGCACCGTACGACGACGACCTATCGGTATCCTGGCGAAAGAAAATCATCTCATTCGTCAGAGTATCGTTCATCGGCTTCACAATTTAAACTGAATACGTTTTAATTGCACAATAATTTCTAGCACGTTTAATTTTATAGTGACAAGTACATATAATCTTAATACGGTCAATCGAATTCTATCTTGAAAAAATCAAATGATAAAAAGAGAGAAATGAAAAATTACTTCAAAATATCTATAATTGAACTAAATTCCACATATATGAAATGTGTAAAAATATTGAAATTTATCGCCAGTGCACAAGAGATGTTTGTAAATCGCAAAATATTAAGTTATGATTGCGATAATTCATTCATCAAAACGTATAACGCGTATTTTCCATGACAGGTCGTTAAAATCTTATTTGACTTTAGATACTCTCTGATGCATTGATGTACATATGTAATCCAGTTGCACTGGTATTTCACGCGCGATCATCCGCCCACAAGCTGTCATCGATAATGTAATGTCGTTTCTCGTCGTTGCAATCGAGCGCACGTCATGAGATCAAGATCGTGATCGAGTATCCATAGTTTTGTAGTTACAAGTTTATTTATGAACTTTGTGTAAATAGAAATCTATAGCAGTATCCTTATTTTTAATAAGAGTTCAAACATTTAAATACTTCATTATAATTGGAATACATTTTTTTCCATCTAATAGCTCCGCGAAATTAATAGAATTTATGCTCCATTACTTTGCACTTTGCAACGAGAAGTTATGATTTTCAATCGTCATCATAGTTATTTATTAAGAAAGATAATTATTCATATATAATGTATAGCGGCCACCGCTACACACATCTGCACATACAACCAATCGTATATTAATAAATAAATATTTTTCAAACAAAGTATATCTACACAACGACACAGAAGCTGCTGGTAAGTGCATACACGTGAATTCACATGTGTACTTGTACGACACGTTTACGAGGACGCTCTCGGCGGCGAACGTCAACGACGACGGGGGTAGAAGTCATATCGTCTACATGTTGATTTACGCGGCGTACTACGCATTTTTACTGCCACGTTATAGAGATTTAAGTGCGGCCAATTATATGTTTATGCCATCCCAATGCTTGTGCTTGCCCTCTCTTTCGCTCGCTCGCTAGCTCTCCGACCAATATGCGAATGCTCGGAACGGCTTGCCCGGTTTCTTTCTCTCAACCTGTCGCAGCTATACTTAGCGAATGGAGAACGGATGAAACCTCACACGGCGATACTCTATTTCGAGAGAGTCAATTTTTATCACGCACGCCATTTTTAAAATTAGAAATATCATACGATTTTTTTCGTCGAAAATATATTGCAATGACAACGGCACAATCAGTCCAACCTCATTTTAACAGAAATATTAATTTGAAACAAGAGATGAAATATATAGCCATCACAATGAAATTTATAGCTATCATTATTGCGTTTATCGGATCTATTATTTATGTATATAATCTATATTTCCTTACATCAATTCTCATCTGATACTGATTCATTATATGATATGCCTATACAATTATACATATAATTCATTAAATTTCTAAATGTTTAAAATCTCCATTGAAAAAAATTGATAGATGCCGATGATCGCATTGGAATAGAATGTCAAGCCGAGAACATCTTCCTCGAAGACGAGCCTGCAGCTTCTATTTAGGATGGCTGCGCAAACTGTTGAAATAACCAGCACATATGGCCGCCGAAAATAAACTACTCCTTATTCCCATCTCGTCGAAACGAGGATCGCACTCGTCTCTTCTCTCCTTCCACTCTCTCTCTCTCTCTCTCTCTCTCTCCCCCCCCCCTCCTCCCTCCTTCCCTCCCTTCCCCTTGCTTTCTTGTCCTTTGGTTCTTATTTTTCCTTTCACACCCTTCCTCGTTTAATGCTTCTTCCAACTACGCGGATTTGCTTCGAACTTCTCTTCGCATAGCATACGACTTTAGATGCAAACTTGAAAGTGCACGACCCTTCGGTACGAGGGTGTAGATAGGTAGAGAACGGGTACCGGATACTAAGACATTTATTGTTGTCACGTCGACTATACTGTGTGCAAAAAAAATACAACTGTCGACCGAAGAGCAAGAAGAAAAAGAAAACGAGAAAAAGATGGGACATCGTACACGCCTCTTCGAGTATCGCGTTTCGCGGTCACGAAGACGACACAACGCGCAATCGTAGCTTTACGACAGCGAAGTGAAATTTTGTAGACTATGGGAATAATACCATATATACCGCAAAAAAATTATTAATCGCTCTCAGAGAAAGGAACAATATCAGCTCATTTACAATTAATAATAAACAGAGCGCTACATTCTATCTATTAAAATGTGTTACATATCGGTTTATTTTACAACTCTAAAAATCGTGAGAAAGGTCAATGCACCAAAACACGCTGGCTTTTGGCTCAAGTTGATCCGAGATTCTCGCAGCGGACTCATCCGCTACACAACCGCGAGGAGTGTAAGTCTCTCTCTTCCACGATTCTCAGACTATTTTTGACGATGAAATGTGGCCCGCTGATGTTCCTTGCCGCGTCATGTCGCGCACGCGAGAGGATCGTCGCGGTCGATTTCACGGAGCGCACGTATTCACGCATCTGCGTGACGCATATGGGAGCGCCACTTAATCCGAGAATCTACTTAACCGGGAGATTAATCGGCGATTGTGGGAGAGATGAGGCGCGATGGAGAATTCTCTCAGAGAGGATGGCGGCGTCGGCAAGGAGCTGATGATGGCATCTCGCAAGGCTAGTCAGTGTAAAGCACGCTTTGTGGAAGTTTGTCTTACAAATGAGCCGCGCGACGCACATAATTTAATACGTCGCTGTTATACGCACACTTTGAACCGCGTTGCACATTGACAAGCAATTTAGACTTGATGAAAAAGATGATGCATTTCTCTTTTTTATCTATATATTATTATTATTATTTAATTATTATATTACCCATATCTATAAAAAGATACAAAATATTCTGAATTACATCGAGTATATTAATGCCAATTAGCAATAGACTTGATCTCTTGGCAAAATCACACAGTCTTTGTCTTGGGAAAAGCTAT